CGTCTCTTGTACTTGGCTCTTTCGTGCTTTAAATCCAGAACTCCCTCCATCCTGAAGCTTGGTAAACTTGACCTCACATACTATTCAATCTCCAGGGCTCTAGCCAAAGTTTCCTGTCGGTTGGGACTGCTTCACCTGAATCTTAAGCTGCGTGCTATCCAATGCGTCCACAAACTGGTCCCTCAACACGCTAACAGATCAGGTGATGGTCCCAAATGAGCCATACTTTCGAGGTCTTGAGCAAACTGTTGCAGTGTTTCACCTCGATTACGGGTACGAGTACGGAATCTGGCTCTGTAAACCTCATTTTGGTGCTTGGTTCCATATCTTCATTCCAATACCTTTACCAGTGACACGTAATTGCTACGCTCTTCTATCAACTGGCTGAGAACCTCCATAGCTGCTCCCTTAAGACTCGTGGCTAATTGAACTGCACATTGCTTGTCGTCCCACCCGTTTTGTTCAGCTAGTAGCTCAAACTGTGCCTGGTATGCTTCCCATGAGACCTTGCCGTCGACCTGGGAGTCTTCTTCACTGGCACTCTTGGATAGCACACGTCACTTCACTTGATGTAGCAAGGGTTCTGAACTCAGGCGCCTGTAATTTAGCTCAGCACTCTTTTTCCACATCATTGTATTTTCCAGAATCACATTTTATGCATTCCATTCGAGGCGTGACAGCACGTGAACACCGTCACAATTATAGGTCACTAAATCTTGGTTGATACCCTGTTGATAGGGCAATTTTCCAGAACTTCCATCCTGCACTGACTTTCTTTAGCTCTTCATGGCCTTCTGTCATCTCACCATCACTTTGCTGTTTTGAGGTTTTTTACCTTTATTTCAGCTTGCTGTCTGAGTTCACTTGCACCTCATGAAACGCATCATCCCATCTGCTACACATCACTCGCAGAGCTTCATCCCGTTCATGAATTTTCCTGTCGATCTCTTCCTGCAGCTGCTGTAGTTGTTTTGTTCTCTCCTGACACTTGTTACGACCCTCCTTCCACCACTGGTTACCAGCGGCTAGGGTCTTATGTACAGAGCAGTAGGTATCTCACAAGAGTTGTTGAATTACCACTGGCTGTCCCGCCAGTCAACGGTATTCCCAATGGTGGTATCAGTATACAGACAAACAACAAGCAGGTAGATTTCCACTAGGTCACAGAAACACTTTTGTGCATTAGTCTTTAATAAACAGTAATTCTTCACAACACTGTTAACAGGGATACGTCTTCACAGCTTAACTCCACACTTCCAATATATAGTTTCCTGTATCACACTGCCAGTGTCCAATTCTTTAGTCTTCTCACTTGATATTAATCACAACAATTCCACAATATTTGCACAACGATTGTCTTCAGTTGTTCTGCTGCTAGACTTAGTCTTTATTAAGTTAGGCGAGCAAATGAGAGCAAAGGAAAGAAAATGTTGACCTTGGCCTGTCCAATGCTGTAATTAAAAACATTCAAGTCAGAATCATGAACTCTGATCTAGAAGAAGTGAGAAATGCAGAGACCTGACAGTTGTAGCATTAGTAAATATGACAAATTTTGTGACAAGAGGTAACGGTATGGCCAGCATAAGGACAAAACCAGACAATGTGATGTAGTCGTGGCCAGAATTATGCTAGGATACAGACACATTTGGCAAGTTGTAACGCTGTACCCATACCGGAGCACTCAGCATGTAAACTTTGTGATAAACCTCTAAAGCATACACTTGAACACTATATTATTAAATGTGACACTGTCAAAGAGTTCAGGCCACCTGACTTATTGTATCTTGAACTTTGTAATTACTTCATTGAATGAGGTGTGCTTGAGGACATTCTTGCTGTTTATCCCAAATTTGCTAGCCCACACTGATTAGTCTTCAATTAGAATATGATTCCAATGTATGTGATCCACTGACCTATATATACTGCTAATGAATATGATGTATTTCCTTCTTTGTGTACGAACCTCCGTCCTGCATGGCAGTGAACAGTGGCATTACCCACATGAATCTGACCTATATATAGTGTCAGTGAATATGATGCATTCTTTGTGTACGAACCTCTGTCCTGTATGGCAGTGAAGAGTGACATTACCCACATGAATCTGACCGACGTATTTGTATGTATGTGTGTATATGTGTATGTATGTGTGCATATGTGTATATATATATGTACATGTATATGTGTATGTATATGTGTATATGTATGTATATGTGTATGTGTGTGTGTACATATATGTATATGTACTGTCAATGAATATGATGCATCTCTTTGTGTACGAACCTCTGTCCTGCATGGTAGTGAACAGTGACATTACCCATATGAATCTGACCTCTATACATTTATAGCTGTTAATGAATATGATGTATTTCTTTGTGTATGAACCTCTGTCCTGCGTGGCAGTGAGAAGTGATACCACCCTCAGTGTCAAGACCTGATTGAATTACTCAAAATAGGCAAACTGTACTACAAGCTACCTAGGCAGCCCACTCCAGCTTATATTGCTTCATAAAAATACCGATACTGCAAATGCAAAATGAAGTGGGGGAGGGGTGATGGTTAACTTTAGAGCATCTTATAACAATGTAGTATTTGCCACAGGATGATAATACATCCACAATATTAACATTTTATACACATACCGGTAACGTTTCCTGAATTATTATATATTCTTCTTTCTATCTCCACTGTAGATACAACCTCCTCTTTTTCATCTTCCTCCTTCCTGCCTATCTACTACCCCATCCTCCTTCTCTCTCCCCCCCCCCCCACTTCACTGTTTTCTCCTCTTCCTCCTTTCTCCATCTCTACCTACTCCTCCCCATTCCACTGTCTCCTTTCTTCTTCCTGTCATTGTCTCCTTCGTTCAATTGCCTCCTCCACCTCCATCTTCCTATCTCACTTCACATCTTCCTTCTCCTATTTCCCATTGCCACCCCCCTCTATGTTTTTTCCTCTCACCCACTGCATCTTCCTCCTCCCCACTTTCATGGTTCATCCCTCTCCCTCAGTGCCACCTCTTCATCCTTCTTCCCTCTACCTCTCCTACTCCACAATCTCTTTTTCCTCCTTCCTCTCATTCGACTCGCTCACCCCTCTTCCTTCCACCCACTGCCTCCTCCTCCTCCTCCCATTCCTCATTTTTTCAACTTTTTCCCATTCTTCTCCCTCATCACCCTCTTCCTTCCCACTTCTCTCTTCCCAGAACCGGCGCTCCCTGATGACATTACAGGGAATCAACCGACTGTCTGAGCGGGTCAATATTTACGCAGGAGAGAGGGGGTCATTTCATCAGGTGTATTAGTAATACAAGTCAGGAGTTTGGCCGAGATTTGGCCCACCACCGCCTCATAAAACCCGAGAGACAAGTCACTGCCTCCTCCTCCCCCCCCCCTTCTTCCTCTTTCCTCCTCTCTCTCTCTCTACTGCCTTTTACCCTTTCCTTTTTTTCGTCCTTCTTCCTCTCACTTCATTGTCTCTTCTCTCATCTTCTTCCAATTCCACTACCTTTTCTCCTCTTTCCTCTCTCTTCTCCTCCCTCTTTTCCCCACCTCTTTCTCCCACTTAACTTGAAGTTTATTTTTTTCCTTAACTGGTGATAAGTGAACGCATCTTGTTTCGGTCGAAGCTTAATTTCTGCGCACTTTGATAGCCAAATTTAAACCGCAGGGTAATAGTGCCATTTATATGTGTTTTTAACAGGTGGAAGGGAAAGCATTAACGTAGCTACCTGGAAATTAGCTGTTAATAGCCCTAAGTATACATACGATTGTGATAAAGAGGCTACAGTAGAAGGTCACACCAAATGAATTAATCGAGGATAATTACATTTATTTTTTGGTGGTCACAAAGAGGGAGCAACACCATGCCAAGTGTGTGGATGTGTCTGACATTTGTGTGTAAGCTGTGGGTGGTCGAGAAAAACGGTTGTTTCTTGGCAAAGTTTTAACACTTATTTATTATATTGCTGTTATAACTATATATATATATATATATATATATATATATATATATATATATATATATATATATATATATATATATATATATATATATATATTTATATATAATCGGACAAACCTAGCAAACGACACATACATACATTCAATCGACTGATCCATCGACCTTGCAAGCGACATGCACAATCTTTGATAATACTGATATGACTTCCTGGTCATGATGTGGACTACAGTAGACTGTAGTGGTGCTGTGAGTGTACAGTATGTATGAGGTGACGGTGTTACTCGGTGTGAGGTAGGATGCTTGGTGATGTGTGTATGTGTGTGTGTACTGATATCGCTTGTGAGTTTATGTTTAGTTAGACTGGTGAGATGGTGATGTTGTTTAACCACATGGTGGGGTAGTGATATTATTTGCTGGTGAATTATGTCGGCGTGGTGAAGCGCTGACGTAACGTGCTGGTGATGGAGCCTGGTAACTTGAATCGAAATGATGCTGAAGTGTTGGTGATATGGTGGTGGTAGTGTGGAGCATCACAGCGGGGGAGGGAGGGGGCGGCGTTGAGTAACCACTGTCTCCATCCCCCGCAACGTAGCTTCTTCCCTTCTGTATGCCCCCCCCCCCTCTCCTCTCTCCGTCTCTTTATCTTCATCGCTCCCCTGCCAAGGTACATTGACTCTCCCTTCCCCTGTCAAGATACATTCCTTGTCCCCTTCCTCCATCCATCAGTTTTTGTTTGTTTTTTACTTTAGTGAGTCCTTCCTTGCTCTCCCCCATTATCTCGAATACGCTGGGTAGCTTCTAACAGGTTGGATGGATATATGAGCAATAAGGGTTGGGTCTAAATGGGACTGCCCAGTATGGGCCAATAGGCCCGCTGCAGTTTCCTCCATTCTTATATTCTTATGTTATGTTGTTCCCCACTCAAATATTCCCCGCCACAACTCCTGACTAGACATCCCCCCCAGCCGCGCCCCCCTACCAAGATACCTCCTCCTCGTTGCCTCCTACCAACAACAGTGCCACTTACTGCCAGGCCGCCCACCCCACAGCTGCTCTGGCTACTCCCTCTCAGTTTTATTACTTAATGTTTACCGTTTACGCGACAGTCGTTAAAATTTGTTCAAGTTATTTATGTGTGAGAACAAACTGACGGTTGAACTTTTCCTGTGATGATTGTGTGACGAGTGAAATAACGTGGTGCAGGAACTTTTTGGGTGATGACTGTGCATGTGTGAGCCATCCCCATCATAAGCATACAGGGATGTTCAGTGAATGTGGGGGTAATTCCTGAAAACTATGTATGTTTAGCAAGGAGGTCAGTGAAGGACTCATCGTGGTAAGGAGTTGCAGCTGTAAGGACTTCATCAAGTGATAAGGAGGGATAAAGGGTCTTGGGGCCTCTCAGGAGCTAACGATGTTTGAAGTTTACAAGTGATTTTGTAGTTGTTTGTTAACTAAGGCAACCCCTCTTCGAAGCTACCATTGACTATTATCAGCTAACGATATAAAGGTGATCTGTCAGCTGCGTCACCCAGAGTAGAAACTCTAATGTGGAATTTGCAGTCCTATGGCTATTTTTAGCTTACGACTACTGTACCTTTAAAAAACTACTGTATTAAAGCTTATAATCTTTAAGCGACTCACTGGAGTTTTGACATACTTGAGGACCCAATCAGAAACTGTTAATACCTGTAACGTACTAGTGATCCGGTGGCGATTCACTCAGTAACAAGAGATAATGTTCCTTGGGCGAGTTTTGTTTTACCCTGAAGAACTTCAAGGCGCTGTCTTGTGGCAATATTTCTTTACGTATATATTTTTCTACTGAAATCTAATAGAGCATCTTCAGGGTAACCGCGTAACGTTGACGAAGATGGTGTTTATAGTAATAAGGTATAACTACCTTCCATGGTTGTGACTTAATTGACAACTAAAGCTGATAAATGGCTGGGCAGACAGTGACTGCCAGCTGTCAGCACAAAAGTTTATGTTATTTACAATTGGTTGTTTCCAGTGACCAGGTGTTAACAGCATAGGTTTATGCTGAGTAACCATCTGTCAGTAGTAAGACCAACTGTTAATAATTACCTGGCAGCACAATGACCAGCTGTTAACGGCCACCTGTCAACATAATGACTGACTTGAAATTACGAACAACTACAGCTATGAACAGCTAAGGGAACAGCCACTAACACAATAGCCTGTTCGTAATTATAACTTGCAGTAAACTTCTAGTTAATATTCAAGGACAAGCAGTGTTAGTAGTTAACGCAACTATCAGTAGAACGACTTGTTGCTACAGAAACGAAAAGTTGATGATAATACATTCATTTGTCATCGGAACTCTACAACTAGCTATCACCTACACGACCAATTATCACCAGAATATCTAGCCGTCATCAGGATAACCAGCTGTCACTAGAATAAACAACACTGTCAACAGCGTCACTCGGTTGTGTGGGCATTGAGGCATAACTAAGCTAAGGAGGTCGTAATTGGCCCGCCTTGATGCTACAACACGCTGCTCGTCCAAAACTGGACCCACTCAATATTTCGGGATGGGCGTCCCATAATAATTTGAAGAGTCACGCCCCTACCACGCCCCCTCACGTCTACGCACCCACTGCCCCAGGTAGGCTGGCTGTGTTCATGACTGTCTGACCAACTCACTGACTTAGGAATACAGCACAGTACGATGTACTCGACATTTCATGTGCTAGAACACTTAACTCCAGCTCGCGTTTGTTATGTTATCTTAGAGTTAACAATATATTATGAAATGCTGAAGATATAACAGTGATATATTATTAAATGTCCAGGCTAAAACATAGTGATGTGCGTGGAGTACAGTATTAGGGTATAGCCTCGTGATTATTGTCAGGTGTTGATTGGTATAACTTGGTGATATTTTGTGATGGGTGTAATGTGATTTAGTGTTTAGTGTTGAGTATAATGTAGTGATTTATTGTTAGGTGTTGATGAGTATAATGTAGTGATTTATTATGAAGATACAGTCATCCAAAGATGCATTGATCCAACCCTGGCGCTCGTACTTGCAATTTTACCTAGCAATACTTGGTAAAGTAAGGCTGTATGTAATGGGGTTTGCGATTGGTACGTATGCATTTTCGGCAGTATCACTCAGGATAAATATTAAGCACTCCAAAGGTAACATTTTTATACTAATAAACTATTCATCGTTATTTAAGATCATGACAATTTTCCTAATGTTAGTGTACAGTATTTGCTTAAATAATGAAGAAATTATATTGATTGATTGGCAACTCAACAACAACCAAGGCTGCCACAAGATTCTCACATCAAATTTCTTCATTATTTAAGTAAATATACGAACATCTAGAAACTTCTCATGGTCTTAAATAACGATGAATAGTTTATTATTATAAATATGCTTATATTTGGGTTGTTTAGTATTTATTCTGACAGTGATACAGCGAAAAATAGATACGTACACCAGTCACAGTCCCTATTACATACAGCCTTACTTCACCAGGTATTGCCAGATAAAATTGCGAGTACGAGAGCCAGGGTGGGATCAATGCATCTTTGATTGACTGATTATGCTTCTTGTGATCCAGATATGGTTATTTCTAGATTCCACCATATAATTATAGAAGTGGAAATAGTATTGTACAGGTTACTGTACTGTATTACCTCTTTTATCCACTCATTCTTTGACATTTATTTTCACTGGATTGAATTGATTTTGACTGAGTTTGATCAGCAGTATTTTCCAGCATTATTTACCAGGGTTATGTCCCACTGTCGAAATAAGTTTTGGCGTGGGTATTAATAACCTTTAGCAAAATGAGCGATAAGGTAATTAAAAAATGAGACAAAGTCCACGCATTCAGTGTTTCAATCTAAAGGGTTTTTAAATTGATTGTTTATCTTTAGTTTATCTCACAAAAACCCAGCCGCCAGGTTGTATCCTCTTAATTAATTATATCAATCAATGGTTGATATGTTGCCACCACTCCTAACTCACCAACTATGGTAATGAGTATGGGGAAATATAATTAGTTTTTATATTCACTGTGTATAATGTCACTTGGTAATATTTTCACTCACATGTGTTGTAAAGTTTTCACATGATTATGTAAATATCAAATTACACTACAGGTATTTACATTTATTAACAAAATAAGCTACATTTATATCAAAGGAGAGGACTAGTTATTGTGAAAGGTTTCACTATTAAATACACTTAAGCTTACATCCTTGGTCATACCACTAAGAAACTTTTAAGGGTTAATTCGCCAGAGTCCGCAAGTCTCTCAACTAATGTTGGTGAGGGCTCAGAGTGAGTGTGGCACGACCTCTCTGTATGAAGTCTGATGTGCACACTCCTACTAAACATATGGTTACATCCCTGAGGGCACCGCTCCTCCTGGCAACATTGCTGACCTAGTACTTACGGTCACCAGTGGCTCTAAATATAATTACAGGCTAGCCACCTCTGTTACAACAACATGGCAGACGATGCCTCTTTTGGTCAACAAGTTATTTGTTATATTCAGTACTCCCACACAATACCCGAAGAAACCCAAGCTAGCATGACAAACACATGGTGGAGATCCCCATGCTTACATTATTGTTAGGGATTGCAGTGCAGTAGTTAGCTGAGTATTGAGTGTGGAAAAAAGAACAGAAGATTTACCAAGGTCGGTAACCCACAAGAGAGAGATCTGTTGAAATGATGAAAAGTGATAAAGAGATACGTTTTTGATAAAAAGTTTCCGTAGTAAACCCATTTAATACCATACTTAACCCTTTGGCTATACCCATTGGATGGGAAATATCTAGAAAATAAAATTGTCTTATCATAAACTCCTGATTTACACCACCAAAGTTCAAGGGTTGGGGAGAATAAACAGGGAACCACTCTATCCCCAATTGGAGCCTCTTCGGTGGGCACATGGCAACTCCACCAGCATACAGTACAGTATTCTGATTCCCCATCCTCATCACTCATATTACCTTAAGATTCACTTGGCAAAATTTGAGGGAAGTCATTATTTTTTTCACTTTTATCACTGACACGATGCAAGGGAAGACCATCCTTGTCTCCAGAAGAGAATTTATGGGCGTCAATTTCCTCCTGTGTGGGGCACCATGCTTGAGTGGCACGAGGTATGTCCAGAACAATGTGCTAATGGTTAATGCCCGCTGATACGAACATGATTAAACTTGAAATTTACACTACACTACTGTATTTTATTGACCTGATGACTTATTTTTTACTTCCATTTACCGTATTTTGTCATTTTATTTTTATTTTTTTCTCTTAAATTAAGTGATTTTAGATGTATATAAGGACTTAGGCTATGATATAATGGGATTTTAAACATTGTTATGTAAGTACAGTATGCACATAGCATGTGTGCCAACTTAGGTACAAATCCGACTCAAGAACATCCTTAGGAATGGAACCCGTTTGTAATCCGGGGACCCCCTGTACAGTACAGTAGTTAGTTGCCTTCAGTAAGATAAATTTGGCAGATATTTTCTGGTACTGTATTATTATTATTATGGAATATCGTAAGCAGTACAAAGACAAGAATTATACAAATGAACTCATCAGTATCAGGGAGAAATCGAGAAAAAATTATTGAAAGTATGACTTGTCTGGGACAATGATGCACATTCATTACAAATTACAATGATCATTAAAGTACCGAGATATGGTGTTGAATTCTTCCACATCATTCCTGGCTTTATCAGTCTTTACCTTTGTACCTAACTGAAAGGTAAATAAAGAAAAAAATTACAGTACCTTAAACTTTGATGAGACTGATGATTACTGACACAGAGAAGTTTCAGATTGCTCAGGATGGACAATGGGTCCATGATGTTTTATTGTACTTTACTGAGCTGTGTTAGAGAGACACTGAATAAAGTATGTATAATGAAATTGAAGATTTTTATACTGTATACAGCACATTACTTTACAGTATTATTTATGTACAGGTATTACTACTAAGTACCCTGTACTGTATTCAGCATTTCACATTGAGTTACAGTATTACTAAAAATCATCTTTTTATGTCATAGTGGTGATCTGATCCCTTGCTCTACAACATATCCTTTATGGATTTGTAAAATGATATTTGTTTTGTTTTGCAGGGATGGGGCGCGGCGTTGGGAGCGCTGGGTTTCGTGACCAGGTGGTTGGGCTGGGTTATCTGTGGGAGACATGGACAGAGGCAGAGCAGGTGGTGGTCGTGTATTCCCTCGTCCGGCGGCTTGGTCCAATCCCTGCTAGATTTCTCCTCAACGTGCTCACCCACACCACCGCACCCGACGCCGCCGACCTTGCCCCCGCCGAGGCCACCGCCAATGACCCAGGTATGTGAGCTCCTTTCCGTCTTTGACTTAAAACCTTAAGCATTGGAAGAATCCTCACTAAAGATACAGTGGAGGGGGGATTGACTGCTGGGTACAATCTAAAGGTTTGTTAGTACTGTACTGTACTGGACTGTATCCTGAACTTTGTTTAGTTGTGAACACTTTTTTTATTTGCTTTTGTTCCTATGTTCTGTTGCTGCATGTTGTATCTTTTAATTATATATATATATATATATATATATATATATATATATATATATATATATATATATATATATATATATATATATATATATATATATATATATATATATATATATATATATATATATATACAGTGGGGTATGCTATAACGAATCTAATTGGTTCTAGAACCTTGTTCGTTATAGCATTCGTTTGTTATAGGATTAATCCGTTCCAGGCCCCCAAATACAACCACTTAACACTGAAAAATATAATATAAAATTGTAAAAATTTTAAAAAAGTGCATAAATATGCATCTAAACCCCTGAAATAAAGAATATCATTAATATTTGTAATAAAAAAACAATAAATTAGAAAAAAAAAAAATTAAATAATGTTCGTTGTAGGAGTTTCGTTCGTTATAGCATTCTCAATTTTATAGGTAAAACCGTTCGTTATAGGAATATTCGTAGTAGGATCCGTTCGTTATAGCATACCCCACTGTATATATATATAATATATATATATATATATATATATATATATATATATATATATATATATATATATATATATATATATATATATATATATATATATACAATATATACGTTGTTTCCCTTTTCCGTGTGATTTTATTATATATATATATATATATATATATATATATATATATATATATATATATATATATATATATATATATATATATATATATATATATATATATATATATATATATATATATTATTTATTTTATTTTATTTTTCCAGTAAAGGAATCCTTGGCTTATTTATTCCCTCTTTTTCCAAATGAATTTACCTTTCATGATTCCTAGTTAAAGGCAGTAGCTACATTATAGGGGGGAAACAGTGTCTGGGGAAAACTGCAATTTTAATACAGGTATACAGTACCTCCATGCATATGCTGTTTGGCTATTAATCGGATAATCTGAGCTTCATTATCTGTAGCCTTTCTCTTCCTTTCAATTTCATTATATGCATTACAGTATTTTTTTAACTGATATGGGTGTAAGTGTGTTAAAAAAGATACAACTGCAGTTTTGTCTGATTAATTATTTTTTATCTCATTTTATTGTTATTTTGTTTATTCCTAGCAAGTCTTTGCATGATGTGCTACTTGTATTGCTTACATTTATTTGTTGTGTTGACTGAGTTGCCTGTTTTTGCATGACTTGACTACCTTCCAGACACACCCCCAAAACCTGGTATCTGCAGACTTGGACCATTGCCATACCACAGCTTTATGCCTGACTTGCTGACAGTCACAAAGGGTTCTTAGCCATGCTTCATCTTGTGTGTGACCTGGACCAACAGAGACAAACAGACTTCAGTCAATACCTGCAGTACTCTGATAGACTGAATTAAGACTGCAGTAGACTAAACCACTCTGTGACATGCCATGACTACCTTGTGTTACCACCTGAGATTTGGATGCAGGTAAGTCAGCCATATCATGTCTTGGTGATGGGAGTGCATTCAAGAGTGAAGTAAGTGATCTTATTAATGTGGTCCTTGTTTGTATGGTATTATCATGTTTATTAGCTGTTGAGTCATGATTACATTCAATTTCCTAGAATATACCAGATAGGGAATTTTTTTATGAATTTAACTATAAATTTTTCCATGGTTGGGTAAACTAGAACCCTGAACTCTTTCTTATAAGATGCTGTGGAAGTTACACTCAGTTAAATTTACAGTAGGCTTAGAAGGATTAGAAATAAAAGGATACACTTACTGCAGCATCAGGTTCAAGAATGGTATTTTCTGTGTGACTGCATTGACAGAATACATTACGTTCGCATTGATATTCACTAAGGGATGGTGGCAAAATAGATACAGCACTCTCTACTATCCAAAGGGTGCACTGGTTCAGAACCCAGGGCACCCCCATTTTATCTAGCTATTTTTTTTTCTTAATTTTATAGTTGAATAAGGAAAGCTGCCAGACCTTTGGGACTACCTCTTATGATCCTCATTATTAATTACCCGGTAATAAGGAACTTATAATGTAGCAAGTGGATGTAGTATGAATTCAGAACAACATAGCTACATGTTACTTATACCAAATAGACAAATAATTATACAGGTTGACAACCCTTTATCCGAAATTCCAAAAACCGAAAAGCTCTAAAAATCGAAAGTTGTTTTTGTGGGCTTTTTTTTTTTTAAACAGGGATTAGGTAGCCCACCCGGGCATAGATCACTGACCGACATCGGAGCCTGGGGGGCAACAATGTAATAGTAATAATAATTATTCATAGTAAATAAAAATTTAATAAAAAATACACCAAAATAAAATAATAATGATAACTAATAATAATAATAAAAAAATATAATAATAAAATTAATAATAATAATAATAATAATAATAATAATAACAATAATACTGTAAAAATAAAATAATAATAATAATAATAATAAAGAAATACAAGAATGAAAAAAGATCAAAAGTGAGAAACACGACCTAGACCTATGAATTGTTATTATTATTATAATTGTTATTATATTTTCGCCACCCAGGCCCCAATGTGGGTCAGTGACTTGTGCCCGGGTAGGCTAAAAAAAAAAAAAAATTAACCATTCTGAAAACGGAAAAATTCCGAAATCCGAAATGCCTCTGGCCCCAAGGATTTCAGATGAGGGATTGTCAACCTGTATTTTGATTCAGTTAGTGACATCACTCAATAAGTCTAAAAAAAAATTTTTGTTAAATTTAGTTAAAAAATTCTTAATTGGGGGGATTTAACTTTTCAACCAAGAGTTATGACTAGTGTTTTGCCATTACCAGTAACCCCTTCACTACAGGGATGCTACTTTTAATATTTTATTTGGGTAACGACAATTTTATTCAGCTCATAGGCAACCCCATACACAGTAAAAGTTTACAAAATGGTAATTTTTTCAGAGGTAAAGTGTTTTTATGCTGGCAGGGGTAGTCATACTAAAATCTGAAAACTAGAGTAGGCTCCCAATTGTCTTCATATTACATAAAGTAACTGCAACTTTTGGTCACCTCAGTACTGCCAGTACAGTATCTGCAAATGTAATTGTGTGAGTTGTAAAAACCAGTCATATCTGGTCAGTGAATCAGCAGTGGGATGACTACTATAATGTGGGTTTGTATTTGATTATGTGCATCCCTGTCAGGCTTGTCAGGCTAATAAACTCTTCAACATTTGTACAGAAACTAGAATTATAGAATTGACATTTAAATCTGATTAAAGGTCCTAGCAGATTAAGCCCATTGATGAAAGTATTGTCCATGAGAGTTTTATCAGACTGTGACCTTATGTAATCCCATTTTACTGTACATATATACAGTATCAGTTCCAGAGGTGGACGGTGACAGAGTAAAGTTACTTAGTTATCGAGCTCATACAAATTATTTAATACTGTATACGTATACTAGTAAGTTTCTTGAAAGTAATTATTCTTTCTTGATACTGTACATTTTTTTATTTTAACTTTAGTTACATTTCAGACATTTGTTGGCGCTCTTACTTTGTTACTTATTATTTTGATCATCTCGTTACCTCGTTACTTTAATGTGAGTATTTCAGCAGTGAGTGTGTGATATTTTCCCAGTCACTCAGAACTCAGTATGCACGCAACATGCTTCTACTCAATCTTAACTCGGCATTGAGCACGTACTGTTTTCCCAGCCAATCAAAGCAAAGTATCTCTTCCCTTTGACAATATTTAAACAAGATGCTCACTGGCAAATAAGTTGTGGAAACATATTTTAAAATAAGAGAGACTATAGCTGGAAACTCCCCCATATCAAAGGACATGTTAAAGGCTTTCCCCTCTAAAATGAATTAATCTTTCCTTTTGAACACAGCCTCACCAGTATCAGCAACATGTGAGAGATTGTTCAGCCCCAAAAGAGCTTTCATATACCCAGTATACCATAACAAAAACTTAAAAAGTTATCTCTTGTAAGGTTAAGTGAAATATGTTTGGGATAAAAAAATAAACTTCATTATACATTAAGTCCTCGCTTAACGTCGGGGTTACATTCCTGAAAACGCGACGTTATACGAAACAACGTTAAGCGGTTGAATTTTCCCCATAAGAATAGATAAAATACGGGATTTATGTTCCTGAGCCTCCCTTTGCCTCATGAAATACATTACATATACAGAAAATCATTGCCATTTCTATAGAAAATAGTGCATGCATATACTACTACCAAGTTTGTATGGGTACTCACCGATGGGCGGAGGTGGTAGAGCGAGTGTGTGGTGGGTAGTGAAGCTGAGGAGGTGGATGGCAGGGGTGGAGGAGGCGGATGCCAGGAGGGGAGGAGGGTGGTGAGTCACTGAGACTCTGCGACTGCCTTCTCCTCCGCCTGCGCTGACTGAGGTTCCTCCGCTGCTGCTTGCTCCTCTTCCGTTGTTGTTTGCTCCTCCTCGGCTGCTGCCTCCTGTGAAGAAGCTGCTTCTGTCGTCCCGCGACGAAAATATGATTCCAGTGTTGACTGCTTAGTGCTACTCTTCTTCTTCTCCTTATACATCTCACTGTAACAACCAAGACTTTCATCAATGCTGCATTGAATCTTTGAGCTACGTTCTCTGTTTTGGTCGTCATCTACAAGGATTTGCATACCTTGCTGGATCATGTTGAACGTGTCTGCCATCCTCTTGGTAGTTAGCGTTCGTTGGGGTTCTTCTTCGTTGTCTTTGTCTTCAACTGGTCTGTTTTCTGTTAGTTGTTGCAAATCCTCATTGGTGAGCTCTTCTGTATGGGATGCCAGGACGTCCTCAACATCCTCTGATTCCAGCTCATCAAAGCCTGCCTGTCTAGCCAAACTGAGGATATCCCTATTCACTGCTGGGACTAAGTCCGTGAATTCCATAAAACTGTTGACGCATTCGGGCCACAATTTACCACACCATTCAGGTAACTTTCTGAAACCTCTTCCCATGCCTTGCCAATGTTGTCAATTGCATGAAGAATGTTGAAGCCATGCCAATATTCTCGGTTCATAGGTTTATTATTTCTGTCTCTAGCCTGGAGCAGTTGGGCCATGGTACGGCGTAAATAATACACCTTGATTGCGGCGATGACGCCTTGGTCCATAGGCTGCATCAGTGCTGTCGTTTTGGGAGGCAGGAATACAACTTTTACACTGTCATGCAAGTCTTCGAGATTGGGAGAATGAGCTGGAGCATTGTCAACGATCAGAAGAATTTTGAAGTCAAGGTTCTCCTTGACACAGTATTCTTTCAATGCAGGGACGATGTACATGTTTAACCACTGGCTAAATATGGTGCTGGTTATCCATGCCTTCTTGCTTGCCTTGTAAATGACAGGAAGGTGATCCTTAGAGTAACCTTTCAAGGCCCGTGGGTTAGCAGCGCGAGAAATCAGCATAGGCTTCAGCTTGAAGTCTTCGGCAGCGTTCGCGTCAAGCAGCAGCGTCAAGCAGTCTTTTGCCGCTTTGAAACCTGGCGCTCTTTTCTCCTCCACATTGAAGACTTGCTTCGATGAGTAGCCTCCTTCTTGGATAATACGTTTGAATTCTGGCGGGAATGTCTCGGCAGCAACCATATATGAACTGGCAGATTCACCAGTCATTTTAATATTGTGGAAGTTGAAATGATGCTTAAATCGTTGAAACCATCCTCGGCTGGCCTTAAAGGTCTCTTCCTTCAATCCTTCACCCTCTTTTGCCTTTTATGTCATCAAACAAGGATCTGGTCTAATGCTGGATAACCATAAGGCTCACAGGGGCATTGCATTGATTCTGGTCCTCCATCCACATTACGAGCATCTTTTCCACCTTTTCTATCACAGTGCTTCTAGTAAGAGTTGTCTTAGTTGCACTCAGAAGAACCACTTGCCGCACTTACCTTAATCTTGTCAGCATTGGTCCGGATAGTATGCACTATTGTGGGGGTTAGGCCAAGCACAGCGGCTATGTCCACAGCACGTTCCCCCTTTTCAAAACGGACTAATACATCCATTTTCGTAGCCAGGGTAATGGTCTTACACTAGCATCAGTAGTACTTGATGGGCGCTTGGAAGCCATTTCGAATGGCTAGAGTACAGTTTCAGAGCAAAAGTACTTAAGCACACACGAATGATGTGAAGTTATGACTAAGACTGGCTTGGCGTCGCTTGGGGACGCTATGATGTTCCGCGAGTTAGGGTAGCGCGCCGAACTGAGAGAGCGTAGCGCGGCCAGACAAGAGTGGGTGATGCGCCGGAGAAAGTAGTCCGTGAAGACGCAAAACGACGTAGTATCGGATCACTGGGATGTTAAAAAAATTTTTGGTCTAAAGTTTAGCGACGTAGTACCAAAACAACATTAAGCGAGACGGCGTTATATGAGGACTTATTGTACAGTACATACTATATGTATCCAAATTATAATTACAGGGTATTGGTATTTAAATTTTTTAAGCAAATAAAGCTGTGAATAGTTTAATATACTGTATTCTAATTTATCATAATTACAGGTATTAGGATCTTTTTGCCGATGTGATGACCACAGTCATACATGTTAGTTTCCTAACTGCTGGAGTTGTCTGTGTATAT